GAAGAAGAAGAAGAAGAAGAAGAAGAAGAAGAAGAAGAAGAAGAAGAAGAAGAAGAAGAAGACAGGAGGAGGAGGCTGACGAGGAGGAGGTGAGAGAACACGCGGACACGGTGGAATTGTCATTGGCAAGGGAATCTGGAAGTACACCTGCCAAAACTGTGGACTGCCTATACACCCACCCCAACCGAGAAAAGAGCATCTCTGAAGCTTAACAAGGAATGCAGTCACCCTTGTCCGGCTGTAGAAGCCGTGAGAATAGCTAACAGGTGCGTGTAGAGTGACGGAAGAGGAAGTAACAGAGCGCAAAACTGACGTCCAGCCCCTCACCGACACACGGGAGGCCTACAGACAAAAAAAATCCATGTCACCGACACTCCGCGCAAAGTTACAACCCAGCATCTTTGCGTTGCGCGCTGTGTTCTTTCTTAACGAGAGTGCCGAGTGTGAGTCGCACGCTGTGTTCCTTCTTTCTTAACGAGGGTGTCGAGCGTGCGTTGCGCACTGCGCTCTTTCTTAACGAGTGTTCTGAGTGCGCGGAGCGTGCGTGCGTGCGTGCGTGCATGTGTGTTTTTGGTACAACCAAGAGGTTGAGATCAAGTCAACGACATGCCGTTAAATCAGCAGGACCAGGACGAGCGGTGGTTCTGCAAGCAACAACTCAAACCGGATCGTCATGGCGTGGACTGATCTGATCAGGCCACAGCAATGAACAGGAAGGCAGATAAAAGAGAAACCAAGGACAAAGTCTTCCATAATTAGAAATTTTATGACAAGGGGAGTCGAGTAAACGGACAACGACTACAGAAAAAAAAAAAAACATAACTACTACAAAAAATAACACAAGAAGGCTTGCAAAAGGGGTATGTATGCCCGCGGGGGTCAAACACAAAAACGCAACCCCGCCAAAGAAAACAGCAGCGAAACGGCCTCCTCATATACACTCATTGGCGGACAACTTCGGCATTCGGCAGAAGCACATGTATGCCCAAGTAAGGCCCAAAACAGCCCCAACCCAACCTCTCCCAAACACAGCCTTTCCAATCATGTGCACAGGAACAGCCTCCTGATATACACACATTGGCGGACAAATTCTACAGAAAAAAGCACAACAAAACTTGCCAAAGGGATACAGCCTTTCTAATAATGTGCACCGGAACGGCCTCCTGATATACACTCGTTGGCGGACGACTTCTACAGAAGCACAAGAACGCTTGCAAGAAGGGTACGTACGCCCAGGTAAAGCCCAAAAAGCGACCCCCCCCAACCCCAGCCTTTCGAACAATGTGCATCGGAACGGCCTCCTGATATACACACATTGACGGTGCATGGATGCATCGACATGCCACTTCTGTGACTTGTCAAATGATTTGAGAAAAATTCAGAAGAAGGAATGGAGTGCTGACTGTCCAACAACACAAGATAATTCTTTCAGGGGCTGGAAACCAGTATGACAACCTACCCGCAAACAATGCCGACTCCTTACGCAAAAACACCCACGACGAGCGCTTTCAAGCCTTCATTGGCCTCCGATTTCCCAACCTAGCAATTCTAACCGTGACCTGAATCCAAATGAACAAAGCCAATTTCCTCGGAACTATTCATAACAGCAAAGCTCGAGAAACCATGAACCCAAGTGTTGCACGCCTGCAAACACAAGCAACTCCCCCAGACAATACTTCCTTCCTCCCTCCC